GGGCATCGCTACTAGTAGCAAGGACGCTACTAGTAGCTCCTGGCCTTATTACTAGGAACAAGAAGCTACTGGCAACAAAGGGCATCGCTACTGGTAGCAAGGACGCTATAAGGGGAGGCCATCGCAAGTAGGTTGGAGGCCAGCTATAATTGCCTGGACAACACACGTTGATCTTGACACATGTTGTGATGTGAATGCGACCGACTTGTTCTGTCCTACAAACAGCCATGCGTTTTGCCAGTGGTTGCTTGTGCATGGTGTCCCAAACACGAACTTCCTTAGTTCGGCACTTAACTACGCTAAAACACATGAATCACATGAATACGCACTTGTTTCAGATGCAAGTGGAAAGCAATACACATTTCAGCTTTTGTGTGTCCCACTGAGCGGAGCTAATGCAGCTTGGCAACACCCCACCATTCTGAGACCACCGGTTGCCTGGGAGTTTTCAAGCGAACAAAAAGAAACGGAAAGACATTGCAACACGTTTAGCACACTTAGTTTGCATACTGCTTTCTTTGCATCCATTTGTCTCAAAAAGGTCGCCAACAAGAATTCGGAAAAATGGACAGTGCCAAAGGTCTTCGACACCATGGACGACTCCATGTCTCGTCTGAGACAATCGAAGAAAAAAGAGGCAACAAAAAGGCAACAAATTTGTTTCTAGTAGCGAACATTGCTCCTAGTAGACAGCCGTCTGGGCATACCATGTCACCTAGGACCCCTGGGAGCCAACCCCATTTTAGCCTCCAAAGGGCTAATGAAATGGGTAGATCCAAGATTCAGGATTTTCGCCTCATGTTACCATGTCCTGGATAAATTGAGAGGGGCCAACATTCCAGACTCTACAAATCTCTGCATCTAGAACTCATCTAGGTTCAGGTCGCACACTGGAATTGCAATGCCTGGTCAACTCTGAATCAGCTGTAAGGTCAGCCCAACAGTTTTATTTTCCGCCTGCTTCTGCTTTGTCTGTGTCTTGTACGACTCTGTACCATTGTATGATTCTCTATTGTGTTTGGACGTCACCTAGCAATAAAATGTGTGACTAAAGTGGCAGGGACCAAGCTTCAAAGCAAAAACAAAGACTACCAAGGCTGAGGACACACCTTTGGGAAGAGACCAAACCTGGTGGGAATCCTG